ATTGTTAAGACCCGTTAACTACTAACGGTTATTATTACTTAATATTACTAAAGAAATTACACTTGTAAAGAAATAAGAATAAAATAGTAAGAAATAATAATACAGATAATAATAATATAAAAGGTCCACAGTAGCTTAGGTGTAAGTCTGAAGGCTTATAACGCTAAAAACCAGGTTTCTATACCTGTGGTGGGCACAGCATAGATAGCCCATTGTGTAGCTTTGTGCTTAATAACAACAAAAAAAAAATACATAAGCATATCAAGTAAGATTGAAAACTAAAATAAACATGAAAGTTCTTGTTTTTTTATGACGAAGCTACTAAGGGATTCTGTAGCCTTTCCCTTATTTTGAACTGCCGACCAAAGGGAAGGTAACTGGACTACAGCAGCAGTCATTGTTAACTCCTTGGCTACAATTTTGCCAACGAATAATAGGATTGACCGTTACATTGTAACGTCTTCACGGTTAAAAGCGTGAGCATGTTCGACGCCGGGTTTCGATCCCACGATACTAAAACAAAATCAAAAACTTAAGATACTTAAAACAAATTGTAAGGTCATTGGTGAGACAGCGTTAAGTCTAAGGACTTACAAAGGTAAAATCCGGGGTTCGATTCACCGAGATGGACTCAGTAGATAGCCCAGTGATGCTTTGCTCAAGAACAACAAACAAACAAATATAATGACGTTTATGAAGAAAAAACACATTAATAGCTAAATATGCTTAATAATAAAACAAAATAGAAAAGAAACCTATAATGAAAAAAACAAAAGAGAAAGCTGAAGATATTTGCAAATAAATCCAAATGAAACGAAAGAAAAACTAAGTACACTTAAAAAATATATAAGTTATGGGTTTTAATTCCTTTTCAACTCACCATACAGTAACCTAAATTAATTTAGATTTGTGAATAATATTATGGCATTGTGCCTAATATATTATTCGGTATTATACAGTAGACCAACTGTTTAATGAATACATTAAATATTTCTTTTCATTTCACCAAAGGTAAAATTGTAACGTAGAGTCCTAATGCATTCTTTGATACCTGTACCAATAAAATTATTAATAATGTCGCAATGCCACAATATTATATACACATCACTATTATAAGAGACGTAACTGTATTTCTTTGGTTTGCTGACCCAAATTATACCGATGAACCTTAAATAGGCGAAACTGCAGTCCACAGCAGTGGGTGCAGCGAATTAAAGAATGCATTAGGCCTCTAGCATCACAGAATATATTTCAAATTTTACCTTTTGTAAATTGAAAATAAATGTGTAATAAAATCAGAAACGAAATCTAAAGGCATTTGTAATAAAATTTTTTGTAGATTTGTTGTGTGGGTACTTTTAAATTAGTCAGTAAAAGGATGAATGAAGTCAAATCCATTTAATGATAACAAAAACGTTTCAAGTTATTCGACAACACGTACAATCACCACAACTTGACCGTAACTAAAAGTTCTAACGTTTACAAGTTCCATGGTTTTACATAGCTAACAACAGATCTAACTTCACAACATCTACACAAAAATTATGCTTGCTTGCTAACTGCGTATCTTTTGGATTTGGTTACAAACAGAAACTCAAAATTTACAGTACTGAATTACCATTTTAACAGGTTGGCAAACTGTTCAAACTAAACTAAAACTTTGAAGAAAATTACAGACATTAAGCCATATTCTCTGGACAAAATAAAAACATATAAATTTAAAAGAAATATACTACAAAAATATTTACAATAAAAATCTCAATCAATCTTTAATGAAATAAAATAATAGGCTTATAATTATCATAATAATACAAATGAAAAAGTCTAAATATACATCAAGTTAAAGAAATAAAATAGAATAAATAAAAACCCTAAAGCCACCTATAACAAAATAGCTAGAATTAATTATAATAAAGTAAGATTAAAAGCAAGATACGTTTAATAATCAATGTAAAAAAATACTTGCATTAAAAGGTTAGTTAAGGATAAAACCCCATTGTATCCATGCAGACTTACAAAACATTTTCATCTGATAAGTAATGAGAAAAAGTATTGATGTAAAAAAATAAACTAACATTACCTGGCATGTTTGATCATTTGAAATTATTTAAATGGATCAGAGACAATAGAGAAATATAAAGATGACTTAGTTAGGGAAACAAGAAAATAAAATGTAATAATTCGAATTTTTCAACGATAAGATGATCAATAAATGGACAAGTTCTATACTTATCGCCATTTTGTACTGCTTTCATACTGTTTTCAGAGCTTCAGATAATGGTTTCTTTGAAAATGACGTGATGTGTAATATCTGTTCTTGAAAACTAAATTTCAAACAGCAGTCTTGTTTTAATTAAGTAACAAATTGATAACATCTTCAGTGTAATTCGAGATATAAGTTACCTTATAACACCAAAGTTAGCTGTGTTATCTTAGAGCTGTAAATCGAAACTTCGAGTGCCAGTTTAACAAGTAAAGAAGAACTTTTCAAAAAAGGAAGTAAATGTAGAGATGACTAATATCAATCCTTCAAAAACAATGCAAACAAGATAGTAGGGATGATATTTGGATCATTCCTACATGGTAGCACAGGCACACAGTGTAGTAGAATGTTAACAGACACAAATGTGATAAATTAAACTCAATTACGATTGAATAGTTATATATATATATATATATTGCTATATGTTAATTCTTGCCTGTGCTACTATGAATGGATGATGCAAATGTTATCCCTACTGTCTTGTTTGTATTGTTTTTAAAGGATTGATATTAGCCATCCCTACATTTACTTCCTTTTTTGAAAAGTTTTTATTTACTTGTTTTTTAATGCAGTGTTTCAATAGACATATAGAGGTTGTATTGATAACCAAGTTCTAAATACAATCAGGTT